CGCTGGAGATTTTTGCTCACTATGATTTTCTGAAAGAGCACATTCAGGACTACCTACAAAAAAAAGTTTGCTACAAAATGTTGGCAATCTTCGGAGTTATTGCCCTTGAATTGTCGAAAATTGAGAAAATTAACTTTAAAAAAAACAATTCACTCTTTTAGTTGGTACTCTGATTTTCTTTTATTTAAGACTAAAGTTGGAGCAGTAGGTTAAAGAAAAACAGTTATACTGACCATTTTGCGGTAGTTATATACATAGTGTATAGAGAAAAAAATAATGTTTAAAGTCCAGTTTTCTCAAAATTGAAAACAACCGCACAAAGTTAGCGTAATATACTCCCTGCTGGGTATTACCAACAAAGGAAAAGCTACACATGCAAACAATTTAGTTCAACAGAAAATCAATACCATGCAGAATTACAGACAGGCCTTAGCAATGCAGATAGCCATTGGCTATATGTGTACATGGTGTATTATTGTATTTATTAAGTGGTCTCGTACAAAGAAATGATTGAGAAAAAGGTCATACCATCTAAAAATTGACTTGCATATGGCATAATATGTAACAGAAGTGAGTTGCTTGGGTGCTAGTTATCCAAATTTTATACTGTAAGTCAGTTGGGGTTGCATATAAAGTCTTTTTTAGATGCTTTCTATGTCATCAGTTCATCTTCACTGCTGTCACTTCCAGAATCTGAAATCTTATCTTCTTCATCACGGATATCATAATAGGGGAGATAGTTTTCATCTTTGTCTTCCTCTTGTTCTGTATCTGATCCTAACAAAATGTCAACCAATTGTTGAGGGACCAAGTCTTTGCATCACTCCACTGAGAGCACTCCACCGTTATCTCTCTTCCAACCATGATTTTGCGGATCAGGTACATTTGTATTAATGGCAGAGCCAGATGTGCTTGCTTCCATAGTAAAGTTTGATAGTTTACACGTAGGATGTGCAGCTTCAGGGCTTCTCTGCATGGTGTCCAATCCATCAAAGTATAACAGTAAGCTTTGACCTTTTGATATGTACTTTAGCCTTACAAGGTCATGACGAAACTTGTTTGTGCTAGAGTAAGCTGGTTTTCCGTACAGGTGACTAACTAACTTTTCCAGATTGGAAAACAGTTCTGAAGAAACAGTTTCGGATGTTCTCAGCTCCTTGAATGAAACAGCAAACTCTGGGTGCTTGTGGAGAATGGAGAGCGACTTCGCCTTTCCTTTCTGGACAAAAGCGCTAGTCTCCTCACCTCCAAAGAATGCATAGAGTCCAAGAATAGAATTCTGTATATGTGTTTCCATTTTGTAACGGAGAGTCTGAATGTGTAGACATCTTTTTTTCCCCAATCCCTGTGTCTGAATTCAAACTGTGTATGAAATGTTGAACAAATGCAATCATCAGTAGAAAGACATCAGTGTCTGGGGACCGAATAATGATGTCTGTGTTTGGAGTGGCAAATGTTCTGATCAGAGTAAATGGCATGCACGATCAGTAGTGTGTCTGCTTCCTCATTGCTGGAGGATAACTCTGGAACAGGTATTGAGTCTGTAGTCTTTCCATCACTGCTACTGAGGACAAAGCACTGTTGTTCCCTTGCAAAGTATATTTCTCTGTTCAGCAACATCATTGCATAACAATTTTGTTGCCATACATAAAGTAAGAACTGTGTCAGTTGCCTTTTGTTTTCATTATTCATAAGGAACATTTTGAAATCTTTGATACTCTGTTTGTTATCAAGGTGGGTGCCACCTTAGAATTGATGAAAATGGGCCAAGCTGTTTTTGTGGAATATGGATTGACCTTTTCTTAGTTCTGTCAACCTCTGGTGTTGGCTAGGGAATGTATGGCTGCTCTTTGAATTCTTATATGACTTTTCTATGAGTTGAATGTGTGGTTCCAGCTCCTGATAGAGTTTCCTCATTCAAGTCAAAAGTGTCCCAACAGAGTGAGTGATGAGGTTGTTGTCAGGCATGATGGTTGGGGCCAAACTACCTGAAGAAACCTGTATACTGTCACACATGGCAGTTTCCACTTCTAAGAGAAATGAGTGGGATACAGAATGCCCATGCCGGTTTAGATATTGATCAGCTGAGTGTTTCCTGTTGGATGACGGACACATATCATAATAGGTTTAGGCTTTTTCCACTCCCCTTTCGTCACATTGTAGCATATGTCCTGACCTGTAGAAACAACTCCCCTGTGGCATCTTGTTGACTGTGCTTTTCCATTCTTGGAGTAAAGAAAGGAAAGAAATATTGTTTATAGTTGTGGTATTTGCAAAGTTTCTGTGCGCAGATCTGTGTCTGCTGGTGGCCAAGGTAACTTTTGACTTTCATTGCATCTATCAAGAGCTGGTAGTCGTATCACCTTTGCCACTTCTATAACAAGTCTCTTCAGAGGTTGCATTTTCAAAGGCAACTCCCAACAACCTGCCCAGTTGGAATTTCATCAGAGTACACGAGATCACTTGTCCCAGAATATCTCTGCCAGAAGTTGATCCTGGACTGGAAGTGCTTCACAAGTTTCTCCTTCAACTTGTATGCCTTGTAGTACTTGTAAAACTCTGGACAATTTGTTTGCATGAAAGTGCAATACATCTCTTTCAAAAGACTAATCTTAACAAGGGCCAGCGCAGTGACATGTTCTTCCACAAACTGACGGACGGGCTGAAAAGCCTTGGAGTGGGCTTCTTCCTCTGCAGCTGGAGCTTTCTTTCTTTCTTCATCTTCTGCCTTTTCTTCTCCAGAACAGTATTTAGATGTAGAAACTTGTGAACGTCTATCCTCCTTATGTGTTTAAGCTTTTCTACATGGATCATGATACCATGCCTGTTGGGCAATGAGAACAGCATTTTCAATTTGGCCCCGAAGTTTTGAGTCAGTTTTCCTTTTTACAGCTTCTTTTATAGAGGCTTCAGATGTTCTGTTAACATATTTGACAAGTTTATGAACTTTCTTGGTTCCCTTGCTGTCATGTGTCCATTTTGGTAGTCTTTTCACAGAAAAGACATTGAATGGGCAAGTTCTACCATGCTCAATTTTGAACATTCAATTCATTCTCTGAAACATACTGTACTTGTATAAAGAAAATTGTACATTGCTAGAAAAACCAGACTTCAAAATTTTAACCCCTGTCTTCTTTTAACTTAGCTTTAACTAACAAAATGTTTTTCAAGACACCTTTATCATGCCCATATGATTGATCTAGACTATATCTGAGACAAAAGTACACATGCCGCCTTTTTGACGTTTTTAAAATGACGCGCGGCAGTTTTGCATTTTTTTCAAGCAATAGCAAGGGTCATAACTCCTTAACTCATAGTTATTTTTAACAAAATCCTTCTCATTTTGAGCCTCAAACTTTGAGTCAAAGTGTGTACCTATCAGATAACTATTGTACTGGGTTATAGAATATTTGAGGCAATGGAATTAATCATTTCCTTAGATTTTGAGAAATCAGCCTTTTAATTTTCTTTTTTCCTCTTTGCACATTGTAATTAATTAGCAAAACATTTTTTTTTTACAATTCTTACATCATCTTATGATATAGAGTTTTACATCAAATGAAAGTATACATATTCAGCTTCACAGAGAACCCCAACATAAAAATCAAGTATTTTCTTAATTTCTGGACAATCAAGGGCCGTAACTCTGTAGATTGCCAACATTTTGGTGCAAACTTTTTTTTGGAAAGTCCCTATGTCCTACCCTTTCAGAAAATCACGGTGGTGAAAAATCACCAGGGGGGGGGGGGGGGTCCCTCCCCGTAGCCCAAAACCCAACAAAGGGGGGGGGGGAAAAAAAACCTTTTGGTTAGTAGGGGAATAACGGAAAATCTCTGGAGAGACATGGAGAAGGGGGAAGGGAGGGGAGGGGAAATTTTAAGAGAGACCGGGAGAAAGTGGCCGT